ATGGTAAAAATAGGTACAAATGGTCGTGTCAAGAACCTACAAGGCATGTTCACACAATTTAATCGTTCATTTTCCAGGCTTACGGCAACCGGCAAAAATTCAGGAATACAATAATCCTCAAAAAGTTTGGAGCTTGTTGTTCAGTGACGATATGATAAATCGCATTGTGCAATGGACTAATGCAAAACTACGAACTATGGTAGAGGGCTACAAAAGAAAAGATAAACCAGAACTAAAGGATGTGGACTATGTTGAGATGAAAGCTTTTTTGGGTCTTCTAGTATTTAGTTCGGCTTTTAAGTCTAATCATGAACATATTTTAGCTTTATTTGCTACGGATGGAACGGGAAGAGAGATTTTTAGATTGGTTATGAGTGAAAAAAGATTTTCCGTATTACTCGCATGCCTCAGGTTTGACAATCCCGAAGACAGGATTATGAGAGCATTATCAAATCCAGCTGCTGCAATTAGTGAGTTATTTACCATGTTTTTTCAAAACTGTCAATCAATGTATACTGTAGGAGAAAACACTACCATAGATGAGATGCTTATTGGCTTTAGGGGACGCTGCAGATTTAAAATGTATATGCTGCAAAAACCAGTGAAATACGGATTAAAGGTAATGTTACTTACAGATGCTCGAAGCGGTTTTGCTTATAATGGTTACATTTATACCGGAAAAGGTTCTGATAGCATAGGCTTAAACAATGAAGAAAAAAAAACTAAAAATACCTACTCAGTCAGTAATCAGGCTTGCAAAACCAATTGAAGCCACTAATAGAAATATTACCGCCGATAATTGGTTTAGTTCGATTGAATTAGTAGAAACGCTAAAATCTATGAAACTCACATACGTAGCCACACTACGAAAAAATAAAAAGGAAATACCGCCATGTTTTTTACCAAACAGAAAACGAGAGTTGGTTCGTGTTTATATGGTTTCATTAAAGACATTACTATTATATCTTTTGTGCCTAAAAAAGGTAAAGCCGTCGTATTAGTATCATCCATGTATCACTCTAAATTGTCAATAAATGAAAAGCCAGAAATAATAGACTTTTATAATAGTACAAAGGGAGGCGTGGACTCATTAGATGAGAAATGTGCAGTGTATAGCTCATCGCGCCGAACCCAGCGTTGGCCAATGGCGGTATTTTTTCAAATACTAGATATGAGCACAGTAAATGCATTTATAATGTTTTAGACCCATAAAGGAAACCTTCCGATTACACGTCTAGATTTTATGAAACAACTTGCCATGGAACTTGTAAGGCCGCATTTGGAACGTAGGTATTTGAATAAGAGAATTTTAACTGACATTCGTAAAGGAATCGGCCGTGTTCTAAATATTCCAGAAAGTAAAGAAGTTGAGGAAACTTTGGAAAAAAGAAAATATTGTTACTTATGTCCATCCAGACTGCATCGGAAAACGAAATACCAGTGTTTTCAATGCAAAAAACCTATTTGCTTAGAATGCGCCAAAAAAGTGTGCCGAGAATGTCTTACAAAAAATAACTAATTTATAGTTTTGGTGTCATTTTGTAACTAAACGCAACTATTATATACAGTTGTAATTGTTAGGTATTAATCTTTGTAGAAACACTTTTTTTTACACTCTATTTGTTATTTTTTTTTATAAAAAATAGGATTTAAGTTAAGTTAGTTTTTTTTTACTACAAATGTTCACTCTTCTGCATTATTATTTTTAATTTTAAAATAATTGTTGATTGTAACTCTTTTGATCAATAAACATTTTCAAAATACCTCAGAGTATAATTGTGAAAAATATTTATAACTGAGGTAAAAATTCCTGAAGCCCTACCATGCTTAATTTTTGAGGAGTCTGGCAGACTCCATGTCATCAACAGTGCTTAAATATTTCACGTCACCAGTTACGGATTAATGCGCATTTAGTTCGACTTTTTCAAGTGATGTTTGTTCTACTGGCAGAACCTAATTAATTAAAAGTCAATTATTGCATTCGACTGAAATTGCTCAGTACCAGTTTGTTAGAAACCTGAAATGTCAAGTACTAACGGTGCCAGTCGAGTAGGGATAAAGATGCGCTACACTATTGTCGAACTCTAGCTCGCGCTTGCTGTGTGCACTGCTAAATATTAATTTGAATTATAAAAATGCTGCCCAAAATCAATTCAGAACTAAAAGCGCTTTGTCATCGAGCAAGAGCATTTGAGTCGAATCCGCTATTAGTATAAGTAAGCACGTACTAGAGCCCACTCTGCAAAAATTAGCCATGCCAAAGACAGTGCAACCAACTGGAATGTAGAATTATTCGAAATATGGTGCAAGTGATCTTCCAAGATACCGAAGTCCAAATACTGGTGTGCACCCATTCTCCCAGTATCCAGATTACAGCGAAGACCTTCCCTTGTTACTTCCCGGCAACTAAAAATTGTAAAAGAGGTACAGTTGCAGGTGCAACCATTTAGATTAAGTGTTCAAGGAGAAACTATCTCTGAACTAGTTCTGGTCATGCTCTAATACCATAAGTCTGACTCTGTCTTATTTAGGCCTCTGATTACCAAGAATATTCAAATAAATTAATCAACCTCCTAAACTGCTAAGGATAGATGCGGTTATAGTAAATCCCAGTAGTAAAAGAACACCATTTTTAAATTACCACAAGCCGCCACTGTTCCTAACCTATTTTTAAATACAATTTATGAAAAAATTATCGTTCAAAACTGTTTTTTTTTTGTGATTTAAAAGCCATATTCGAGCGGTCTCTTTGGTTTATAAATATTTTCAACAACTTTTAGAACCAGTTTTAATACTACGTCATAAATTTTGAAAGTGCTCAAATAAATAATTTTAAAACAGTGATGTCACTTTTAAGTTAATGATTTGTGAGTTTGTAAATCTCTAGCAACAAATAATTTTTGCCTCATATGTCAAAGAGAACCTCATGTTATATTACCAGTTTCATGAAAAATGAATCGTTATATTTAGAATCTGACTTTAAGCAGGTCAAGTTTTAAAACATTCCTTAAAATTATAAACCTTCATAATTATGCATTTTCTATCTTTTTTTGTGACCATATTATAAATAATCTTTTTTATCATGAATTTTATTGTCTTTGCTATCCTCTATGATGTTTGTTATTATTTTTGACATTAATGACATTTCTATTTCCTTGAACCGTTCTTAATGAAACGTTTTAAAAACACATGCAGCTGGTTTAAACCTAATTTAAAGTGACGTCATTGTTTGGTCACTCGAATGGGAATAGTTCAAACCGTTTTCAAATAGCATGAAATATATTTAAACCAGTCGACCGCTCGAATATGGCTAAAGTCGTTGTAACTTGTCATTGACAACGCATTGACATGTGTCATCTGCATAGATAAACATTTGCTGCTGTGTATTACAAGAGTATTTTATCAAGAGTAATATACCAAGACCTTGTTAATAGTCAGCTATTGTTGTTAAATATAAATTTTGAAAATATTTTAATATCAATTTGATGAGACATAATTTTAGGCATTACAGTTCATCAAATTTCTAGAGGCTTTCGACGGCTAGACAGAGAAAGCACTACTGACAGGCATCCCGACGGATTTACGCAATGAAAGTACACTCTGCGCATCAAGTATTTCACTATTTCATTTCTTTTATTTTCGTTTGTGTTTTTTGCTCATTACAGTTTAATAAAACCTAAGTATGGAGTTTAATAGCAAATTAAGAGGCCGCGTGATTAACAGTCAATCTCGCGAAATAATAGCCAATGTTATAGAGTTTATGAGAAGAGAAGGAAACTTTAATTCACCTTCAATACCATTTAAAAATGTAAATGATCGTGTTGCTGCAGCCACAGGAGTATCTAAAAACACTGTCGTCCGTATTTCTGGAGAGAAAAAAGAATCGATAACCGTGAGATATCGGAATTTTCATCACCAAGAAAAACCATTAAAAAACCAAAAACAGTTAATGATATAGATGAAGCTGCACAAGAATCAAATTTTATTTTTTTATTATTAGATAGCTATTTTTGTTTCTGAGTTGTGTTCATTTACAGGCTCAATTTTTTTCCGTTTCTCCTTTTTGATTTTATATGGGGTTTCAAGTTGTTTTTTACTTATTTCGACGTAAATCATAACAACACACTTTTTTAATAAAGCAAACAAGTGTTAAGAGGTATATGTACGTGTAAACTACAATTACAAAAAATTGATATGAAACCCATGAAACCACCAACAAAAATGTAAAGCTAGCTTCCGTACTAGAACATGGTGTCATTCGTCGAGATAATTTATCGTTTTGTTTAATAGATCAAGAAATGTAAATATTCCCGTTATTTTTTATAAAATTATAAGAGAAATAAATTTTTTTCTAAATAGTATAGTTTATTATTTTGTAGAAAAACAAAATTTCGAAAATTTTAGTAATGTTTCAGAAACAACCGTTATTAATAATAGGTACCATTTTCCTTAATAAGGTAGAAATAAAATATAAACTATTTCCACGATTTACAAAGGCCTACAAAAAAATTATAGGTATTTTCCGCTATCCTATAAAATTTATATTTTCTGACTCAATTTCAAAAGGTTGAAGGAATTCCAAAACACCTTTTATGGTATAATAATTATTTTCAATTCTACATACTATCTTTAGCTGCTTTTAAAAACGTTCTAAGAAAGTCCAATTAGACCAATTTAATCCCTAAACTATTCCACACTTTTAAAATTTAATTACCTAAAAATATTAAAAACTATTTAAAATAACTTGTTTAGCAGACTGTACAATAGCTATCTTAGTCACACGTAGCGCGTTCTCTGTCTGGGTGTCGAACACCTCTAGAAATTTGATGAACTGTAATAATATGATTAGAGCCCGAGAGCTTTAGCTCGAGTCACTAATAAAGAATCTAGCGTTGAACCTTGTGGAACTCCCATAGAAATTAATGTATATTCAAATTTAATTATGTCATGAGTTATCTTAAAATATTCGTATACCAAATAACAATATTTTTTTGTTTCAGAGTGTGATCAAACGTTTGTGAGTCGACCAGGTGGTCCAATGAACGGGACTTTTCACTCTCCAGAATTCGAAAACCCGCGAAGTCACTCGAGAAATTGCGTCTACACGTTTCTCGCGGGACCTGGACAAAGGGTCCAGGTCAGCTTCATCAGTTTCAACCTCAGAGGCCGCCCACCAGAGTAAGTACTATAATATATATCATGCCACTACTAAATAATATAAAATACTGATTTATTTTAAATAAATGGATTGGTCGGAGTACAAGAGGATAATTCTGAAACTATAGTTTTGAAATGAAAGAGATTAGAATTATTAATCTAAAATTTTTCTTTACAGTATTATTACATTTTTAAATAAAGACGGATGAACAATTGGAAAATTTATTTTCAATTTTATTGTGTCATTATATTATTCTTTCGATGTCAATGGTCGTTATTTAAATTGATTTTGTTAGATCACAGATTAAAAATACGCACCACTTAAAACTCCCCAATTTTTCTCTAAGAATATTATTAAGATCAGTTTGTAATAAATATACGAAGATATTATTTATTTAAAATTTGCCATTACTTTAAATTTTATTGATATTTGTTTTGCCATAATATAACTATAGACCCAAACTACAGTTTCAAAAATATCGCCTTATACTCCATGTAATCCCATATAATAAATAAACATTCGCGACTTGATAGAAAAAGGAAAATTGAACATTCCATTGTTTCAGTCTGGAAAAATTTTGTAAAATATATACTCTAGAATATAATATTCTTGGAAATGAAGGCAAATATTTGGCCTTGAAATAGATTGCTCTGGAATGAGCTATATGTAACTCTTTTGCGAATTTTGCAACTTCAAATTCCATTGTGTATTTTTCATTTTCAATTTTTTGGGATTCAATTTTCCTCTTTCATCGGCAACAAATATTTATTTTGATTCACTAAAACTGTATTTAGTCATAATTCATACAATTTGGTATTCGACGAACTATTATAATACTTAAAATAACAATCACAAAACACAATAATAACGAAAAGGGTACAATTTATATGTCAACCATTTATTTTTATTGCACGGTTATTTTACAAAATATCGATTACAGATTAATGTAAGCTGATGTAATGGTTTTCAATTGAATAAAAACTTGCAGAAATTATTTTTGGTGGTTTTGAATGAAATCGGGTAGTTTCCCAAAAATATAATATACAATATACAGCTTTTAGCTTTTCATGCACAGGGTAATTCTTGTATCATGGGAAATGAGTTTTTCTCGTAAACGACTGCAGCAAATTGAGTCCTGTAAAAAGTATTTGATTTACGTCGATTAATGCTTGAAACTGGGATGGATATGGAAGTTATAATTAAGCGACGCTGGGCGTCACGACGCTTCACCAATTTTTTGTCAGAAACATACTATTTTTATATCAGAAATTGAAAGATCTATTCTATACAAACACTTCTATCAAATACCACTTACAAAGAATGCATGGTGTTTTAAATTTCACTAACTCAGGTAGGCTTTGACACTTACTATTTTAATAGATATAATTAAATTACAGTTTCAGGCACAGACATCGATAAAGGAGATAGGAAATGTCATTTTCATCAGGCACGTAGAATTGAAGGCGGCCATCTTTACAAAAAAGCGAATAACGCACTTGCGCATTGATTGCATATTGAAGTGTACAGGATAGGACTAACACATTTAAACATAATTCGAAAATATTAAGGATTTACTTACACAGTAGAACTAATAACCTTAAAAACTCGTAATAGAATTTTAATTTTATTTTTTTGTGGATTTTAAGAGATTTCTAAAAATAAAAAACATCATATTCTTTTTTGAAACTTTATTTTAAATTAAATAAAAACAGAATATATTTAAAATACAATTTTATATGAAATTAATACAACAATCTAAGGCCGTCATACATTTTGTAGCAA